CAATTTTTATGTTTATAAAATATTTTGAATGAAAAATATTAAAATATGTACAAAATAAACCAGTTTGAAAACTTTTTTTATTATTATTTATCAAAAAATATAGTTCTGGCATAAACAATGTTTAATTTTAACTGACTTAATTTTGCGAACGCATTTTTTTTTATTTATATGGGTATCTTAAGGTCAGTTTTTGCGCTAATATTGCTAATGCGAGCGAAAAAAATTTCTTAAGGAAAAATTTTCTGTAGCGAACCCTTTGTTAAATATTTCGAATATCACCACTGCTTATCGCCATTCGACAGTTCCTGCATCGACTACGATTCCCACGACCATTCAACGCACGTCATTCGTTTCCTCATAGAGGTACTGTATTGTCTATGACAAAAAGGTAAAAATTCGGAGCATTAAGTTGAATTTACGAATAAAAATATACAAAAATAATTTTTCTTACTACTTATTAGAGAAAGTAATAGAATAAATAAATCGAAAAATTTTATGTACTCCCTTATAATATCATAAAATGAAAATTACAAGAAATAAAATTCAGTAAAATAATGTAAAATATGAAAAGCCAGTCACTTGAATCTAAATAAAATTTAGATTCAAGCGACTGGCTTTTCATAATAAAAAATATATTTTATAATTTACCATTGTAATTTTTTTACTGCAATTTTCAAATTGCAGACCTATACATTCACACTATCGTACTGTACTTTTGTCTGTCCTGTTCCATATCTGGCGACTTTCATCTAACTCCGTTCTCGAGATTACTCTCGAGAACGGAGTTAGATGTTTTACTTGTTTTATATCTTAAAAATAATTATATCCCGGGATCCTGGGAAACAGTTCACTTTTTTCCCGGAATCCCGGGACTGAAAGAGGCCCCGATTAACTATATAAGAACTTTCGGTTTGGACCGGAAGTCATGTTATTTCAATTCAAAACTTTTCTCCTTAACGATAAATGACTGGCATGACTCCATTGTTAGTAGGAAAAGTATGTTGCACTAGGGCAAGACACAACTGAAATTGAGAGCATTGTGACAATAAATAATTGCTCGTTCTAAAAGACTTCTTAAGAACGCTGCAATTTTAATACATTTATATGATGTAAATTAGGGTTACTTATTTCCCGGTCTTTTGCTTGTCCCGGGATTCCGGGAAAAAAGTGAACTGTTTCCCAGGATCCCGGGATATAATTATTTTTAAGATATAAAACAAGTAAAACGGCAAAACCGTATTTGGGACAAGACTGTCTCGGAGATGGAATCACTTTGATGCTCAAGGCAGGTCTCGTTCTCATTCTCCTATCTTCTTTGATATCGTTGCTTTTGGGCGCGATCGTTCAAACTTCGCCGGCCACGATGCATCTTCGATGAAATTAACCTATCTAATTTCAAAATTTCTCTCCGTTGCATGTCGGCCCGGGTTGAATTTTTGTCGATGCGTAAAGAAAATTTCCCGTTTTTGAAAAAATAATCGTGGCTATTGTATCGTCCGAAATTATTTTGCACAAACAATATAGTTCAACCCGATTATAATGTCATCGAATGTAACAACCCTAATATAACGTCAAATTTTTATCGGTCCTACGATTTTACTATACTAGATAATGTTAATAGTCATTTGTTTTCTAACTAATTCGTTTTAGGACCAAGGGTCCACGGAAATTTCCAAAATTAACAACTTTTAGTCACGTTCATTGAACTGGAAAAATTTGTCTTTATTACATCTAATATTACGAAGAAATCACTCCACACTGTACTCGGTTAAGCTTTTGTTTAAGTAAAATTTCGGCTCTTTCAGCAGGGTTTTATTTGTATCCCCAATTCCATAATCGCTTAATTATTTAACTACTTCTTAAGTAGAAATAAGTCGAAACCAGTTACTTTGTACTCGAATATTTGTAGTCTCGGGAAAAAAGTGGAAAGACAAATTTTTACCACAACGGATACATAAATCGTAAATTTAAGGAAAATAAATTCTAGAGCTTTTTCTGTACCTCGTGCATCTCTCTCGTTCATTAAATTTAGTTGTAAATGATGCTGTCAAAGTAACAGTTAATTTCTTAACATTGTACAAGAATTGTACACGTTTTTTTCTACATCCCCTTAGAGATGGGACATACAAAATCGTAATATCACTGGCTTAACATTGAAATCCATGAGTAATATAAAATCAGAGAGCAGAATAAAAATATCAAATATTTTAATGGATTTTTTAAAACTCCTGTCAACTATACAGAACTATCATAAAAACATACTAGTAAATTCTTATCGGTTGGGTTAACTTATAAATCTACTCGTGATTCATGTAATCGGGCGAGGGCGACCAAATATCTAGCAGGCAGGCGGCTAACAGCCCAGAACCGGTCCTGGATAGAATTGGATGCGGTATACGTGTAGAATCCACCCAAGGTCCTAGGCTTCCACCAGATAAACCAGGTGAGGTTGGTGCTCTGTAAAGCGCATGCGCAAATCTGGCTTTTTGGATGTTGACGATACAGCGCTTCCACTCCGCCACTAATATTCGAATATACAATAGCGATCTTATCTTTTTTTCACGTGCAGTATAGAAATTTGTAATCAGATAGATAA